TTATATCAGTAAGCTCCCTTGCCTGCAAGTTTTCCTTTACATATACTGCAACACCACCTCCCTTCTTACCTATACGGTCTTTACGTTTATTCTAATTGTGCTCTAACCCTCTCATGTGAAGATCTGATAAAAAGCAGCAACAAATGGCTACCCTGGATACCAATAAGCCAAACATCACCAATAACAGCGAGCTGCAGGAACATTTACATTTTATGTAATAGGTGAATGTTGAGTTTGGCCAGCAGAATATTAAGACATTTTTACGTCAGTGAAGAAATAGTCATGCTATTTGCTGAAGAGGCTTGTAAGTGACGTCTGATGCATTCCTGCCCCACAATATCCAAGTGGAGGGTTGGAGATTTTTAAGCATTTTGATGGCTTCCTCAAATCGTTCCAGGAATGCAACAGTGTCAGTGAGGGACTATTGATTCAAGGTTGTCATGGGGGCAGCTTCCCCTCAATCTTCCAGAAGTGTACAGATGTCTTCATACTGACTGCTGATAGACTCTAGCATTGTATGTAGATAATTCCAACTCATCTCCACAGAGGTTTTGCGTGTTTTTTTTGTCTGCCTGAAGTAGGTTGCGAGTGACTTGGCTGAATCAATCAAAGGAGTCATCTCCCCATCGAACATGTTGTTCTCAGAGGGTTTTGTGGGTGTGGTGGACAGGACAGTGTTTATAATATGTGCAGTGCAGCTCAGCCTTGTAACAGTATGAAGGGTTGCAACCATGTTTGACCCCTAGTCTGTCACATATGCCAGTTTTGAAAAGTATTCATCAATGCTGAATTTACGGAATGCACTGGTGATGCCTGGCTTGGTATGTCTGCTGTTTTATGCAGCGAACTGTCCCCCTGTGATGTACAGAGCACTCATTCATTTAACTCCCACTTGTGGTTGATATAATGCAAAGTAACACAGATATTTCTATATTTTCTATAACCGTCCGTTCACGTGTCCATGGTAACTGCTCCATTGCTTTCCTCAAGCTGCATTTCCAGTTCTGGGATGACTTTTTGATGAACCTCCTCCTCATATTTGGGAACTACACGAGAAACCGTTGTAGGGTCAGGGAGGAACTGTGTAGCATCCACACGGCCAGCCTGAGCACTGATGTCAATCGACCTTTGTGCTAATGCAAAAAATCCATCGCAATGTACTGTCTCAAAAGATCTAAGTTAACAGAAAGTTGTGATCAAATCTTCTCCATAAGAAATAATGGAAAACCAATGAATTGGTTCCCGGCCCCAAAAAATTACACCTAAATATGTTTTTTTTAAGCATTTAAACACAAAATGAACCGGATAAAACAAGAAGAGCACATACTGTACTAAACACATCTAAGCACATTTATCAAAACAGTAATTTGTAAAGTAAGAAAATAAATGTATCCAAACAATGTGTCCTGCCCCGATCGTCCGCTCCTTCCTTGTGCCACGCCCCCTCGTTAACCCCCTGTGGAAACCCCATACGTGTGATTAGCTGTTTCTGGTTGTTGTCATTAACCCTCTGTATTTCGTCCGTGTTTCAGTTTGTTTCCCCAGTCCGGTCATTGTATTGTCCGTCTGCGTTTTGCCTGCCTTACCTGTAATTAAACCCCGTATTCCCCGATACCCTGACGTCTGCGCCTTTGTCTCCGTTCCGTCCCCACTTGGCACAATAATATTATTATAATTAAACGTATTATTGGTTTATAATTAATATTAAAATAATGAATAAGAAATCTTTTTTTAAATGTATTTTATTTTATAATTATAATTACTGTTACTGTCTATCATTGTCTAAATGTATTTTTATTGTCTAAATATATGTACGGTATTCAGTTAGTGTAAACATGCACGATGCTATCACAGCTAATGCGAGGCTGAGACTGAAGCTTTACCCTTTGTTTCCACTGAGAGACGTGCCGCGTGACTCATTTCCCCGCGCGTACAAGTTCACGGTTTGAGCTCTAGGTAATTTTTTTTTTAACTGGATGGTTCGACTTTTAAGTAATTCGAGTTCTAATGAGTTCAAGAACTGAGGTACCACTGTACTGTGTTATTTTCCTGATCTAAAATTACTCCACATTTCTCCAAACTTTATATTAGATGACGGGTTTTCTGTAACTTTGAAATCTCCACTTGCCAGTTGTTTTCTCAGTTCCTCACTGTCCATTTTACTGACTTTGGAACATGTGATTTCAAGCAGTTTATTCTAGGAGTGCGGAAACATAATTTAAAAGATCCATTATTATCAATTTTATCTGTTTTAAATGTAGTTTTAGATGGTGGACATGTGTTTTACATTTTCAAAAAAATATATAAAATTGTAGCCAATTTATTTTTTAGAATAAATGTTTTCCATTAAGAACCTTGGTCCACCCATGGTCTATTTCTAATTTCTGACTGCAGCTGTACCTGCAAATTAAAATTTTCTCCTGTTCCATAAAAACTTGCAGGGTACCCAAACCCATGTAAGACTGTACTCCTCGGTCCTGGGCTTTGAGCTTGTCCCATTGTTCTGCCCACATGGTCCTGGCTGCAGCGCTGCCACTGTTCCTGAACAGTCTGCACCAGGCTGCAATGTTGCTCTTCTCCACAATCTGGGCATGACAGCGGTGCCCAGAGCTAACAGGTCCGGTCCGATGATGTAGGGGTCGGTGATGTCACCGTGTGCCCTGTCAGTGTGACTCGCAGCTGCCTCCTCCCCCTCATAACCACCCGCATGCCAGTTTAGATGTTGTACCCAAACAAAGAAGGTCAGACTGGACTCTGTATACAAATTTCCTTCCTTCAAATGACCTTTGTTCATTAACTTTTACATCCATCCTTTCATGACCACTTGTGCTCTACATGTTTATACTGTAGGACTGATGGGATCCATCAGGCAGTGTGACATGCTGGACTAATGCCAGCAATATAAATAGTGTTTAATTGTGTAATTGTCATGTATTGTGCAGTATTGTAATGTCAGGTTAATGTTAGTGTCCCTGTGAATTGTTGTAAATAATGGTGTGCATGTGCCCATGGTGTGTGGTGAGAGTAGTCAGGGTGACCTGCATGGTGGGCGGTGTGAGTAGTCAGGGTGACCCGCACGGTGGGCAGAGTGAGTAGTCAGGGTGACCCGCATGGTGGGCAGAGTGAGTGCATTGTAAGTGTAAATGGCAGATGGCAATAAGACACCATCTTGAATTCAAATGGCACCATTGCCTGTCTAATTAATAGAGCAACGCACCATGTATGACATCCGCACTCCATTAATAATCCAAGAGCCAAACCTAGGAAGAACCTGCACAGCTTTTATTTGTTCTCACCTTATTTTAATGGAACAATCCATGAGGGGAAGCATCCATCCATCCATCCATCCATCCATCCATCCATCTATTATCTGTTGCATATCTGAGGTTGAATTGTGGGGACAGTAGCCTAAGCAGGGATGCCCAGGCCTCCTGCTCTCACCAGCCACCTCCTCCTCTACTTTGAGCTCCTCCTGAATGTTTGAGCTCCTCACCCTATCTCTTAGGCTGAGCCCAGACACCTTACAGAGGAAACTCATTTCTGCCACTTGTATCCACAAGCTCATGATTTTTGGTCAGTACCCAAAGCTCATGACCATAGGTGAGGGTGTGTGATGACCCAGTCTGTCCCACCATGTTTTTTTTGCTTTTTTCACAAGGTGGAGTCAGCGCACAGGTGTTGGTGCTTCCCAGTGATTCCTGGGATAATTGGCTTTCAGCTTTAAATGGGCTGGTTAGGCTTATTACAGGGTGGGTTAAGGGCTTTTGACCTGGATCTTTCCTCCTCGCTTCCAGAAACCCACTGGTTTCAGCCTGTAATAACTTGGGCTTAAACTTGCCTTTAACTGGTGAATATGCTTCCTTTCCTCCAGATATTTAAATTGATGTCTGTTTTCTTTAGTCAATTAATAAATAAGGTGGTTAAAGTATTTCTGCATGTAGTCTCCCCTTTATGTTACCCAGTCAGGAGCCAGGAGAGTGTGATAGTAGAAACATAGTTTGACTGGTAAATCGGCATCTATCAGTGCCCACACTAACCTGTTTGGTTTCTCCCTTCCACAGAAGACAAACCTGTTATCATAGTGTTCATGCACCACTGTCGCGATCTCAGTCACATGATCAATGACAACTGCTTGACTAAATGCCAACCGTCCAGTGACAACAAAGTGCACAGTTTCCACTGTGCCTACCATGACTCAGTAGGGCTGCTGAGATGCCAGGAAAATGAGCAGGTGGTCAACATGGTGCGGTCAGAACTGCTGAGGTACAAGTGAAGAAACACAAATATTCTGTACACACTCAGGATTTTATTCAGTTTAATCAATTATCCTCAGAGTTTGTAAGCAAACAGTGATTATTCTGGTGTAAAGTTGAACTGTGCAGAATATATCCAACTAAGAAACATCCACCAAATATGCAAGACATAAAAACACAACTAAAAATGTAGCAAATTACTAATTTTGCAGATCAACAGTAACTATTGTGAGAATATCTAACATCGTAACTGTATTACATATGATTGAAAAATTAAACAGAAAAATTGAATGTAACTTATTTTTAAAGTACTTTTGCATGCATGTTATACAGTA